CCCACATCTAGGACACAAAAACATTCCTTCAATACGAAAGTCCTTACTGGTGATAAATCTTATGGTACTACATTCACTCCACAACTACACAGTATGCCACACAAATGTACTCAGATGCTTGGCTCAGTGCTCATTCACAGTCAGGTCCCTACAGAGGACAGGTCCCCTGAAACATCTTGCACATTTCCTGAGAGCTTAGTTTTATCATGGGAATTCCCCTCCAAACTATTTGGCCTGGTAGAAGCAAATATCAGTCTGACAGTTATACGGACACAAACACTAATAACGAAAAAAAAAAAAAGAGCATTCCCGTTGGTGTTTGTAAGTACTTTAATCCATTTCAGAAGCTTATCACACACTTACAGGGACAGAAGTTCTCTCAGCTTTCCAGATACGAGTCTATCAAAAGCATCTCCTGCACTAGTGAATTGGGCAGCACCATCATCCTTCTCACTTGAGTAGACTCCCAGAACAAGACCCTAGAAAAGGACACACATTAATGTAAACAACACAAAATTTGGAGACCCATCAGAGGCAGCAAGCACACTGTTCAAACCATTGCTACTTCTGTACATATTTATATCATGTTATCTATTTATCTAACACGATGCAAAGAGCAACACCTGGTAAACCAGGATCAACTACTACAACTACTTTCAAGTGTGAAAAAAGAAACTAGATACAACATAACTCAAGTTATAATAATTTTTCCGAACACATAGAGATAAATAAAGACAAAACCTCTTCTAATCGGTAATTTTAAGTGCAAAAGGGTTTCTCCGCCCCGCTCCCCCCAAAGCAGATCTCCATCCAGGTGCACCCAGGAGAACAGGGAGTCGCACCCCTCCTGGCTCAGCTCCGGGGGGCACAGCGACCCCGCTCAGCCGTGAGCCGCAGGACCGAGCGGGAGGAAGGGACCCGCTCCCACCGCCGCCTCCTCCTGCCCCGGCTCAGCCCCTCACCTTCCCGCCGGCCCCTCGGCTGTAGCCCCGCGGAGCGGGACCCTGCGCCGGGCAGCCGCAGGCCAGGGGCAGGTCCCGGCTGAGGCGGCGCGCAGCCACCCTCCGCACACAGGGCAGCAGCATGGCAGGGAGCAGAAAGGGAAAGGAGAGGAGGTAAGCAGGAAGGCAGGAGCACCGCCCGGCCCCGGCGCGCCCAGCGCCTCATCAGCCGGCGCCGCGCGGGGCGGTGCCCGCGGCAGGGAAGGGCCGGGATTGAGAGCAGGAGGCGGGAGCGCTTCCCGAGTTAGTACCCTGAGCGGCGGGAGCTGAGGTTTCCTGCTTGTGTACGGGAGGTGATCCGGATTCTCATAACATGCTCTAGATGGGTATGCGCACTTCTCTTTGAGGTTTATCACAGAGTTAAAAAAATCAGCCCTGGTCTGCTTACTGCACGTTTAATTTGTGTACTGAAGATTAAAATGTAAATTACTTAGGAAAAAAATAAAGCTTTATTGCAAATGCACATTGTTTTCTAAGACAAAGCAGTACAATCCCAGATTGAAATTACAAGGGGAAAAAAAAGAAGAGTGGTAAATGAAAATAAAATAAAAAAAACAAACAGTAAGAATGACTATGGTTATATTTTATCAGGAAAAATTACACTGGAATGCTCAATCACTGTAATGTCAGAAGTGGATTTATGCTTCTCTAGTAAAAGCACTGTATGGAAAAGAACTGTTTGGAGTTTGCTGATCATTATTGTATTGTCAGTCTGAAAGGCAACGAACATGCACTGGACTTTAGGTGATCCAGATTTCTTTTTGTTTGTTTCTTTCTTTCCCTGCCGCCGAAGCGTGAAACATAATAGTAATAGCTAATAAATAATTCATTTTTATATGTGAGAATGAATCATACACCTTGCTACACTATGTATAACAATGTTTGCTTTTCCATACATTTGTAACTTGAGTTATGCTGTTAGACCAGCAGAACATGAT